TGAAGGTCCCACACATCAATTTTATCCTCTTTACACTGTGTATTTTGATGTCTGGAACTCTGCCTGGTATGCCATCGTGTTTAATAAATATGTATAGCATAAATTAAGTTTATTTGTATGTTTTAAGGAGTTGCAGGGTATATGTTACTTTCTGTGTTATTTAGTGGTATCCGATTGCCGTTGTTGGCTGCTCTGAAAGGAAAAGTTTGGGAAAAAACTTAAAGGAGTTAGAAAGACCTGATTGAAGCTGGTAGAAACCATAGGTTATTTTACTTATTGACCTGTCAAGCCTGGAACTAAACTCACCCTGTGGTTTTCACCAACTTTTAGCCAAACAATAGGTCATCAATAGTACCAGGGAAGAACACGCTCCATGGAATATTCAATTATGACAAAAGGACAACATTTGCCCTGGGATAAAGCTCTGATGGCAGGGAGATATAGGAAAGAAGGATAAATGGAAATGGGAAATAGAAGAGGAAAGAGTATTCTTATCATGCAAGGATTATAAATAATGTGAGGAAACATGATGAATATGAATTATAGAATGTAAAACAAATTTGCTATGTAAGCTTCCACTCAAATCATACTAAAAGGCTAGTTAAAAACATGACTCATTTATTACCAACTCATGCTATTACTAATATTTGTTGTTGTTAATTTCCTTTAAACATAGGCATCACCACCGACCTGCTCAAGGTGATCTGTGAGAAATTTACATGTTGTTAGACAAGGAACGGTGTGAACATGGGCAACTCCATTCCCTCATTCATTGTTACACATTTTCCTCCATACCTATACCATTTCACTTTTCTCTTTAATAAATTCATTCATTTTTGCACAATTTCCTCCCACCATCCCCACTTTAGTCTACCTTGCTATCCATCTCTTATTCTTTACTTTTGTCATGCAGATAATGCCTAATCATATTTTCCTTTTAAACAGTTCTTTCCCTCATCTGTTCCAATGCAGTGGTCATTTTTACCCCCTCTTTTCTTAGTTTCCCTTCTAACACCCAATGTCAGTCCTGTTTTGTAGTGGCTTTATGTAGTATTTGTCCTTTTGGGACTGAGATCTTTCACTTAGAATAATGCACTACAGAGTCACCATTTTGTATAATATTTTATGAGTCCTTTATTTTCCAGTTCTGCATAGTATTCCATTGTGTTAATATATTCCCAGCTTCCCTAACCATTCACTTGTTGATGGACACTTTGGTTGCTTCCATCTCTTTGCTATTGTGAACAACACAGCAATAAGCATGAGTGTGCATATATCTGTTTGGCTGAAAGTTCTGGATTCTTTAGGGTATATTCCCAGTAGTAGAATTGCTGGGTCAAATGTTATTTCTATTTCCAACTTTTTGAGAAAGGACCATACTACCTTCCACAGTAGTTGCACCATTTTTCACTCCCGCCAACAGTAAATAATGGTTCCAATTTCTCCACAACCTTGCCAGCATTCATTGTTGGCTGCTCTGTTGAACTTTGGTATTGTTATGGGGTGAGATTTGCATCTCTCTTAGAGCTAAGGATTTTGAACATTTCTTCATGTGTTTGCTCGCCATCTGAATGTCTGTTCATATCCTGTGCCCATTTTACAATTGGGTTGTTTACCTTCCTCTTGTTGAAGTGTTGGAATATTCTATAAATTCTAGATATAAGTGCCTTATCAGACATGTCATTACCAAGTAATTTTTGTGACTTTTCTTTCTACCCTGTTGGAGAAATATTTGATGTACATAGGGATTTGATTCTTAGAAGGTCCCATTCATCTACTTTATTCTCTCCTGGTTGTAGGTTTTTCAGGATGCTTGGGAGACTGTTCATGTTGTAGATTAGGGCTTTTAGAGTTCTTCCAAGTGTTCTATGATGATGTTTACAATCTTTGGTTTTACTTCTAGGTCCATGATCCACTTTTAGTTGGGTTTTGTCTATGGTGTGAGGTGTTGGTTTTCCTTGAGTTTTCTGCAGATAGTTTTCCAATTTTGCCAAAACCATGTTAAAGAGGCTTTCATTTCTTTTAAGTTAATTATTTGTGGTTACAATAGTATGGCAGCTGTGGACTTTCACCTTCCATATTGTAATAGTGACTAAGACTTGTTGAAATTAACTTCTAGTATTATGTTCCATCATTCCATAAATGGTATTTTTTAATGATTATCAAGGAAATTATTTTTCAATGAAATCAGAAGACATATTGCACTGGAAAAGTCTGCAGTTAGGGATCTCTCCAAATTATTGAGGAATAATAATGTCAATTTGAAAACTAAGGTGCATCTGATTTATGTCTTGGTCTTTCTGATCATTTACTGCGCATCTGAGAACTGGACAATAAATAAGCATTACAGAAGAAGAATTGATGCTTTTAGCTATTATGTTGGAGAACAGCACTGAACATCTTATGGACTGTCAAAAGAACAAACATGTATGTTTTGGAAAGGGTGCAGCCTCACATATTTTGGGCATGTTGCTAGGAGAGGCTATTTCTTGGATGGAGACATAATGCTCAGAAAGGTGTAGGGTCAGCAAAGGAGAAAAAGATCTTCGACCAGATGGATTGGCATGGTGACTGCTGCAATGGGCTCTAGTGTGTCAGGAGGTGTGAGGATGGTGCAGATCTGTTTAGATGGGTTCAGATCTGTTTTCATAGGGTCAAAAACTCGACTTGATGGCACCTAACAACAATAGAAACAACATTTTTTTAAATGCATATGACTTATTTTGCTTACATATTTCCTCGTACTTGCAGATTTAGATAAAATAATTCAGTAAATAATATAGAATTAATCTCTTTCTTTCCTTTATTAAATATAAAAAATATTTTTAGAGTTTACAAGCCTGAATAAAAGGGTAATAAAAATACCACTTCTTAATTCATATCAACAGATTGTTTTTCAAAAGTTTTGCACAACATGACAATGCTACTTGCAACATATTTTTTCCTATTTATCAAAATGCTTGCTCAGTACATAGGACCTCATTATAAACACACACATGAATTCTATACATATGATATTTTATAGTTAGAAAATACTGCCTTATTTTGGCTTTACAAAGAAATCTTTTTTTTTTTCTTACTAGTAAAGGCCAGTTTTTCAGTGACCTAGTTAAATTTGATCAAGATTTTTTTGGGGGGTGGTTCATTTTATCTGGAAGTTTTAGTGTTTTTATTTTCTAATGTTTAACAGGAGTTGATGCCATTTTATTTTCATATTTACTACTAATAGTTTTTGGGGTTTTAGTATTAATGATTAATTTTAATATACAGACATTTTCCATTTATGAATGATAGAACTGATAACAACCACAAATATTGATCGATGCTTTGCAAGTTTTCTCCTTTTAATCCTCTTAACACTGTGTTGTTGATATTGCTCTCAACTCCATTTTGCATGAGATAATGAAGGCCTAGAAAGATATTTAACATGCCAGAATGATACATGTAGAAGACATTGACATTTTTGATCAGAGGTAGGAAACTTGCAAACGTTTTCTTTCAAAAGAACTTTATTTGATTGTCCAAGTACTCAACTAGTTTTTTTAATTAAAAATTGTTTTTATAAAAAAAAAATTTAAAAAAAAATTGTCTTTCTCTACACCAGGACCTAGATTTTTTTTTTTTTGTCAATGATTGATAATGTTTGAATTGTGACTGACTCTTATGAAGAGGCATGCAGTTCAGTTCACCAGAGAGTCTAATTCCAAATGTCCAGTTGTCTTAAACTCAGCTTGTTTACCTCGGCTATGTAAGTTTTCTGATTCTTATGGACAAGGCTGAAGTTCAAACTATTTAGCAATTAGCTCACCATAAGCAAGGAGTCTTGGTGATTCAGTAACTCGTTCTCATAGAAAGGTGAGACCGTTTGCTTCCATAAAGATTTATACTCTTGGGAAACCCTGTGGACACTTATACTCTGCCCTGCCTAGTTGTGATAAGTCAGAATCCGCTATGGCAGGAGATTCTGTTATAGTCAGTGACTGATCAGAATGGACACCATCCAAAAATAACTGGTGAAACTTACCAGGGGAGCTGTCTGCACAGTTGGCCGACATTTCTATATACGCGGCGGCTGTATCCAAGTCCATTTATTCCTGTCTAGTCAGAAGGGTAAGGCTTTAGGTCTCACAGAAAATTGATCATCTTTCTCCCAAGGAACTATATAACCAATGAAAAGTGGACTTTTAAGTAGCAGCAAACTCCCTAAAGACCTAACTTAGAAACAGCATATTTATCAGGATTTATCAATTAGGAGTTACGCTAAGGAATAGTAAATGTAAAGAAGTCTTTAATAAGTTGATCTTGGTCTATCAGATCTTTATTCAGTCATTTGACTAAATATTTACATCATGTCATCTCACACCTTTCCTGACTTGTACATTTTAGGCATGAAGTATCAGAAATACAGGTTATTCCTACTTAAAAACCACTTATTCTCACTTTCTGATGCTTGAATCTGGCATGTTCCTGGAACTGATAAAAAAGTTTACTCACCTTTTCCTACGTTTTAGCTTGTAGATTAGTATTGTTTTCCCCTTAGAATTAACAGATCTGCAATTATATCACTAGTTTGACTTGTAAAGGTAGAATATATTTCTGACTTTGATCGGAAAATGTCTATAAGTGCCCAAATTTTGTTCTTTAAAAGTTCTTTATTATAATGCTGTTCTCCCAATCAAACTGCAATTTTATCACAAATTGACTTGACTTTTTTATATGTGGTCCAGTAGAATAGTATTATAAACAATATTGATGCCAGTGGAATAATTACAGTAATTTCTGTGGAAGAGCAAATTGTGGTACCAATATTAGCATATGATATGATCTATTTACCAAAACTAATGTATTAAGAAATCGTTGTCATCATTATAAAGTTGCAACTAGAACAATTTAACATTTGCCCATCAAAGTATGCTATTCCTAAATTTGTGATTTTGTTTCTATAACAATATGTTAATTCCCCATTTTTCCTCTCTTTTTTTAAATTTCTGCTTCCTCAGTGGATGTGAAGTCAGAGGTTCCAGTGGGCCTAGAGCCCATCTCACCTTTAGACTTAAGGACAGACCTCCGGATGATGATGCCCGTGGTGGACCCAGTTGTCCGTGAGAAGCAACTGCAACAAGAGTTACTCCTCATCCAGCAGCAGCAGCAGATACAGAAGCAGCTCTTAATAGCAGAGTTTCAGAAACAGCATGAGAACTTGACCCGGCAGCACCAGGCTCAGCTTCAAGAGCACATCAAGGTAGCAAATGTTTCTTTTTCTCCAACTGTATTCTCTTGTGAATACAGTCCATGTAACTTGTGCTCTGAATTGAGCACAAGAAGAATCAGTGGGAGAAAGATTTAGTGCAATAGCGACATGATAGTGTAATTGGAAGGATATTGTGATTATGCAGGTGGAAAGATGTCCCAGCAGTAAGAATGATATTCAGTACTGGAGGGATTTGTTCACTCTTGTATCTGTTGTCTTCATAGCAACCCTCTCTTTATATAATCTCTCCTGCCTGATTTTTGTTTATTTCCTTCATTATTACTCTTCCATCAAGAATGGCCATGACTCTAGGCAAATCTCTTATTTTTAAAATGCTGAATAAAATACTTGCACTATTTATGAAAAAGAGAGAGTAATTAATAATTTTATGGAATGAAATAACTTTTGAAAATTTTATTTTATTAATTTTAATTAACATTTACAGAGATTTTGGATTTTCATTCATTCATTATTACACTTTTTTCTTTACCCCTCCCCCAGTTCACTCCTGTCTTTGAAAAACAAAAAATAAACTTCTTTACACATCTGAATTTTTTTAGATTGTTTTGGTCTGACAGAGACTTGAACCTGTTCTAAATGGTTCAGTCATAGCCTAAGAACAAAGAGCAGTCAGTGTACAGCACACAAATCTGTTCCGTGGCAGATTTTAACACAAGCAAAACAGGGCTCCTCTCAAAGGTGGTAGCTAACCTTATTTTGAATGTGTGTCATTCTCTACAGGAAACCACTTTTTAGTTCTGTCTGTTTCTTACTTGGGTCAAAATCCTACACAGAAGAGATTAGGTTGTTAAGCAGTATATATACAATCCTTGTTTCCACTGATCGTGACCAGATAATTTAGAAGAACCAGATGGAATCCCTAGTCTATAACTAGATCTTCTCAATACTCCTCCTTGTAGGATTTTTTTTTTAGAAGAAATACATTTTTACAAAAGAATATATCCTTGTCCAAGAATTTTTGGAGTAAGTGTGTGTGTGTGTGTGTGAGAGAGAGAGAGAGAGAGCTGGCATATTTTATTATCAGAATATTTTAGATACACCTTTATATCTGTGTTTTATATATTTAATAAGAATTAATATATCCTTAATTGTAAAATGCCTTTTAACTTTCATTTATATATATATATTTATATATATATTTTATTTATGTATTTACAAAGTTTGAATACATTCTTTTTCACATTGGATCTTTCCTATTTCCTTCACCACCCCTCACCCATCAAATTGTGCAACCCCATGGTTAATGCCACTCCATCCTCATCCCTCTGCTTCTATTACCCCTTGGATCCTCATATTTGTTCTACAATAATGGTTTTATACAATATTTGTCTTTATGGGCCTGAGTTAGTTCACTTAGCATAATGCTCCCCTGTCCCTCCCAAGATAGGTAATAATTTACAAAATCATTTCTCCTGCATACTGCATATTTTCCCAACATGTAAATGTACCATATTTCTCAATCCATTGTGGTAGGACATTTGGGCTGTTTCCATGTTCTTGCAATGGGGAATAACACTGCTATGAACATTGGTGTACAAATCTCCATTTGTGCCTCAGTTCTCATTCTCTTAGAGTATATTCTAAGCAGTGGAATAGCTAGGTCATATGCGACTTCTTTGTTCAGCTTTTTGAGGAAGCACCAAACTGCCTTCTAGAGTGGTTGTACCATTTCACAATCCCACCAAGTCTATTGTAGCGAGATTGTGGTTGTTATGTACCATAGAGTCAGAACTGGCCCATTGCTGACTCTCCGGTGAGTTTTCAGAGGCAGTTAAACTCACAGGAGGAAGTTTCCCATCCTCCCATGGAGGAGCTGGTGGCCTCAAACCCTGTACCGTCAAGATTGTAGCGCAGCTTCTTGCCAGTAGGCCACCAAAGCTCCCTTTTGGTTAGATTAAGAAGATATTAAATTTAAATTTATTATATTATTAATATTGTTGTTGTTGTTGATTGCCTTTGAGTCAAGTATGACTCATAGTAACCCTATGGAAAAAAGGCCTGAAGCCTTTCTATAACTAGTTCAGAAAGTTTCCGGAGGCAAGTTTTTTTAGGAAGTGGAAGCCATTCCTGTTTCTAAGGTATCAAATATTTGTAGTATGAAATTTTATTTTGTATGTAAATCATTCTTATATGGCTATCTTACTTTATGTCTCATCATACAACACTGGAAGATGTTTGTTCTAACCCTTTAATTTTATATTTAATGTCGGTAACTATTAATATTAATTATTATTTTATATTTTTACCTCACTGGTAAACAATGTCTGAAATGCTCAAAACACTATTTTCTTCCTAAGGTTTGCTCTTTTACAAGATATTTCTTTATGCTGGAAGGTTTATTTTATCTTATTTTCCTAAAAAACTCTTCAACATCTAAGATAATTTTTTCTATCTTTTACTAGTAAACATTACTAAAACACAAAACAAAATTTGGATTTTATTGACTTATCAGATATATTAGAAATAAGGATGAACTTTTTGATCTTATATGGACATTCATGGCTATTTTTGCATAATGAGTTACTTTCATTTCTTTTGTTTACTTATTTTTAAATGTATTTTGCAGCATTAATTCACTTTCACCTTTGAAGCCACGGTGAAACAATGATGTCTAAACCTTATTTTCCTTTTACAGGTATAAGGATTGTAATGATGAATGTAGAATCAGAAAAATTTGTTCTTTACCATACTTTAAGATTTGAAAAAATAATATTTTTCTATTATATGCTAAGTCTTATTTTCATGGCTACAGGCAATGCTAAGAAATTACTCATTTAATATGTCTTTTCATTTAGGTTGGATGGTTTTTGTAGTTGTACATATCAATAAAAATTGTTAAGAAGTGATTTGTGACTTAATGTTAGTGAAAAATTAATAAAAGCAAATAGGTAATTAATTGTTTCTTTAACATAAACAAAGTGGTGTAGTAGATTTATTGACATCTGGAAAATATTGGAGAAGGGTACTTGGTTACAAAAGGAGTTTGAGGTAGCTAAAAGGAAAATTTGGCTTTTAAAATTAATTTTCAAAGTAATAAGTTGTTCTCTTAGAACCTAAGGTCATGCTTAAAATTTTCCTTTTAACTTTAGGAAGTTTCATTTAAAAAAAACAAAGCGAGCTGATGCTTTAGCATTTATTTGGATGTTATTTTTATGGGAGATACAGTGCATGATTAGCTTATATTAGCTTTTGGGATCTTTGACTTCTGTAACATCTGTTGAGTCAGTTGTTGCTATCCCATTTTTCCATCTGGTAAACTGAGGCAGGTGCAAGTAATGTCACCTGAGGACATACAGCTAATAAGAAGTTTATATGTTCAGAATGTATATTCTTTCCTTTTCTGTCTTTGAAGCTACAGCTCACTCAGACAAGCTCCCTTTTGGTTTAGAATGTCTAGAAATAGAAGAATAAACTTTAGGGTTTTTTTAATATTTGTTCTAACCTCATTCTTTATAATAGCCATAGATATTAGACTGCTGCTTTTTCTAGATTCCTAGGAGAGAATAAAGTGCAGTCATAGTGGAGCCTTGGATGAAGAACTGAATCAATTTGATGATGACCAATTTCTATACATACAGAGGTTATACATAAAATACAGTTAACCAGAGAGATGTGAATGCTTCTGTTAAAAAGGAGTATCTGAAAATATTTATTAAAGACCTAGGGCATTGAAGTAAAAATACTGAAAGTTTTAACAAGGAGTGTCCTAAGAAGTACTTCCAAACACATCCCCTTCTCTGTGTGGTTAGATCTATCATGAATGACATGCAAAATTGGCTTCCTGTTCTTCCAGGATAACTCCGTTGCCATTCCACAAAACTTTTTCGTCTCCGGTTGGTTTAAACAATTATTTTAGTACAATCCAGAAGTTTACTGATTCAAATCTACTCAAAGCACTCCAAAATACAGGCATAGTGATCTACTTTCAAAATGTTTTGCAAATTCTTAGAAACAATTATATTCTGACAACCTACAACTACAACAAAATTGTCATTGTAAAATTCCAAGTTTTACGTACCTTTCTAATATAAACATTAATATGTTAATTCATTAATATAATCTACATGTGAAAAAAATGTAAAACCATAATTGTTCTGTTCTTACTTTCAGTAATGTCATAACTAGAACTCAGAATCTTTAGTTATTACTAAGTGGGCACATTTATTATTCTTCAGAAATGTGCATTTCTAAAACTGAGAAGAAATGAACCTGTCAAAGTGGTTATTAAGACTGCTTTATATTCATATTATTCAAGGTTTTGAAGTGAATGTAAGGACTTCCAGACAATAGGTTTAGTTATATAGGAATGGTTTCTTCTTGACTCTCATTTTTAATCTGAAGGGTTTTTCTCTCTATGGTGAATTAACTAGACTATATTACTGGTTAGCCGAAGAGTGTACATATGTGTGTAGAGACTATATTAATCTTTTGAGAACTTTATTTGTAAAGTTTCTAAATGTTTTCCCTCTATCCTATTTTACAGAGAGACTTTCTGAAAATTAGTTCATATCTCCTAATTCTAGTCAAGTTAACTATTTTTCAGGATAAGAATGGAAGCTTTTGTTGCTTTTCAAAATGTGAGATTCAGTGACATGACATGAACTTCAGAAGTCTCCAACTTTGCCTGTTTCTTATATTTCAGATGAGAAAAGTAACTAAAGAAGTTAGTGTTAACCAATAAAAATGAAAAGACTTACGTGAACTTTGTAATGACCTTTAATAAGGTTACATTGGTAATGAAGCTCCTTAAAAACTAGCTTGTTGATGTTAAGAAAACACATGATATTAATAGATTGTCTTTGAAAGTAAATATTTTGTAAAGAAGGAGAGAAAATGGCAAATTAACTATGAACCCGATCCACAAGCTTATTAACATTTCCGCTATGGTCAGGGATGACAGTGGAGCCTAATGAAATTGCGCACTCTCATGTCTTTCTCTTCTCGCAAGTTGCAACAGGAACTTCTAGCCATAAAACAGCAGCAAGAACTCCTAGAAAAGGAGCAGAAACTGGAGCAGCAGAGGCAAGAACAGGAAGTAGAGAGGCATCGCAGAGAACAGCAACTTCCTCCTCTCAGAGGCAAAGATAGAGGACGAGAAAGTAAGAGGCACCAGGGTAAAAGCAGATCCTTTCCCTCATCGTTAGCTGGCCATCACATAGAAAGCGACCTGATAAAAGGTGTACTTAAACGTGTCAGAATTGTTTGTGTTTAATTAAATGAACACATAGCATTCTTTATTCAGTTTACAGAGCATCTCCAGAAGTAAACATAATGTTGTGGGTCAACAATGTTCAATTTTATTCATCCATACTTTAAAACCAATGTTACACTAAGTGTGTCTAGTCGTAGCTATTCTGTGTAAGAATTTAGTTTGTAAGTTGTTGTTGTGTGGTGCCAGGTGGGAGCGTTTTCAGGAACTGTTGATTTCGCAGGACAAGTGTGTCCTTCTCCCATGGAGCCATGTGCCTTTGGGTTGACAGCACAGCTTCTCACCACTAGGCCACTAGAACTCCATAGACAGTATAGATGCTGATGTTGTGTACCATAGTCGGACCCTCCTCTGGATTTCCAGAGGCAGTTAATCACACAGGAGGAGATTGCCCATCCTTCTCCCACTAAAATATAATGATGTCCACATATATGTCCATATTTTATCTTTCTTTCCTCCTATTCCCTCACAAGTAATAATTTTCGAAGTCTGGCCAGCCCTCCATTTAATTTCTTATTATTGAGGCTTTGGGAAAATATAAGGCAGAACACTTGTAAAGGTCTATCCACAAGAGGGAGACAGATCCAAATAATTCCCGCACTGGAGGTCAGTTCAAAATAGGGTCTTGGCAAAGATTATAATGTGACTTGAACTGGAATTATCAGCAGTATATATTTGTTTAATGCTCAGAGGATTTTTAAAAATTACCGCTTTCGACCTAGTGACACAAAGAAGATCATTTTACTATACATAAGTCTTATATAGTCTTGCTTTTTTTTAAAAGCACTGTTCTATGCTTTTTTCTCAAAAGATTTTTTTTAAAGCTTAGAAGAGAATTAATATTAATTCTGACATTCCTGTTCTGGAAAAACAATTAAATGAATCACTGAATGTCTTGAAATTCAGTAGTTTTAAAGAATAGTTTAAAAAAAATGCCATAGCATTTTCTGAAGCTTCTTTAGATTATGGCTTGGTTTTTTGTTTTGTTTTGGTTTTGTTCTATTTTTTTTTCAAATTTTTATCCCAGTGCACTGTGCACCATTCATTATCACATACCCTGTATAGGCTATGACCAGTGGTGTTACTTATTAATCTTTGATAAATATGTTAGAGTCCAAACCCACAATCACCTTCTGTTTCTGGGTGTGTGTGTGTGTGTGTGTGTGTGTGTGTGTGTGTGTGTGTGGTGTTTGTTGTTGTTTCAGGGGCAGTGGCAAGTACAGAAGTAAAGCAGAAGCTTCAAGAATTCCTATTGAGTAAATCAGCAACGAAAGACACTCCAAGTAATGGAAAAAATCATTCCGTGAGCCGCCATCCCAAGCTCTGGTACACGTACGTTCAGTGTTCGCTCTTTTAATTTTCATAGGTGATAAAGAGTATAACTTCTGTATTCAGTTAACATGAGTACATATTCTGAGACTGTCAGTTCTGAGCTGGGTGGCTGTGGGTGAATTCCTAGAATCATCCAAGCTCAGTTTCCTTCTCTCTAAAAAGAACCTAATAATAGTACCTGTCCTAATGGTTGCTGAGATGATCCCAAGGAGTAACATGGTAATGTGCTTAACACAGCAGGGCTTATTAAGTGTTGGCAGCTATTGTCTAGAGCTCAAGGAAATTCCTTTTTTTTTGTATGGAATGAATAAATGACACATGGTGAGGTGGGTGTAAATGACATAAATTCCTATTTTATATTTTACCGTTTTCAGATGGGGCATCTGATATGGACTTTAATTTTTGTGATTTGGAAGAGTAGGATTTTAACTTGTTGCTTGGCTTGGTGTAAAAAGGGCAGAGGTCCGAACTATTTTTAAAAGTCCGGACTATTATTTATTCATTTTTTTTAAAAATGAAAGAAAGCATACAAAGGAAGTAACAGAGGGGAGGTAAAGTAATAAATAAGTCTGACTCTTCAGTTACCAGTTTGCTCCTGTCCTCTTCACCCCATTCTTCCACACAGTAAAACGAGAAGTACAAGTTGATGACATAATACACTCCCATATTACATTTCATGCAGCCATGTTTCCTGAATAATGAAATGTTATGCAATACACCATTCTCCAAGAGCATAATCCCATCTCTTTTACTTTATTTACTAAGGAAAGAAAATGAATTGCAAAAAACCAGTTGCATATTAAAGAGTACGATCATCATCCTTTGCTGATGGCTTGGCTATGCAAACCCAGAGATATGAAACTTGTATGTCTTCTTCAGTTGAAAAGCCAAATTCATGAACTCCCCGACCCGTAATCCTCAAAAGTGAAATTTTTCTGTATGCTGAGTTTTGCACTGATTGCTCAACAACATGGACAAAAATGTTATTGCAAAAAGAGTCATGAGTGTGACTTATAAGAATGTACACAGTCTCCGATTAGCAAAACCTCGGACTCTTAATAAAGTTGTCTGCTTTAGTGAAACTCATTTTTAAATACGAATAAATTCACACAGAGCATTCTTGGGAATCCTTTCTCATTCTGAAGGATATTGCTCAAACACAGTTGGTTATATGTGACTGTGGTTTGCACACACTATATAGAAGAAATACAAACACAGCTGAGACAGGTGTGCTGCACTGGACACTGATTATTGCTGGTCAAGAAGCAGTAAGGTCTGCAGGGTAATGGTGAACCTTGTTTTTTGTAGGGCCGCCCACCACACGTCATTGGATCAAAGCTCTCCACCCCTGAGTGGAACATCTCCATCCTACAAATACACTTTACCAGGAGCACAAGATGCGAAGGATGATTTCCCTCTTCGGAAAACTGGTAAGCTTATTTATCAAAGAGATTCCACCTACTCTTCAATAATGTACCTGTAATTTCATTTAACAAAGCTAAAAAGTCACGAGTGTTATCCCTCCCTTTCTCACCCCATGCCCTAGTGTAAACACATATGTGCATGTGCGCACACGCACACACACACACACTTTAACAATTTGTTAATTATATAATCAGGCACCTTTATTCATTTAAAATTTACTATATGGAGATTTTCGTGAAAATTACTTCCTTCTTAGCAATAAAGAGTAGAATAAAGGAAAAGAGAAGTATGATTTCTTGAAAAATGTAAACCTTGTCCACTACTAAAGACCCCTCCAATTGTCTCATTTCTTCAGATTTTCTACAGCCATTTATAACATATTGTGATATGTGCATATTGAATATATGTATTTACCAACCTAATATATTAATGCTGTTGCCTACTATAAATGTAAATAATATTTGTGTACATTCAGTTGGAAAGAGTGTGCTGATAATATAGTTCTTTAGAGGATGGTGTACAATTAGAAATGTTTATATCTACATCTGATCTGAAAAGTTTTCAGTCGTGATACTTCAGTCCAATGTATTTTATTCCAGTCTCCTTGAAGAAGTATAAATCTGTGTGTTCATGCATGAAATCTGCAGAGGAAAATGCTTTCCAACAATTATATTCATTTTCCCAAGCAATTTTGACTAATTAAAATGGATATAGATTATAAAGACACATGCTGAAGTTATTTTCTGTCATATAATTTACTTGTAGCATAATGAAGGTTTAAAAATAAAATCAGTTTTGAGAGGGAACCTGTTCCCAACATCTAGTTCATATTGTGCTAGTCACTGGGGAAAGATGGTCAAGGTAATGTAAAGCATTTTATTATCTGCTTCATTTTAACAGCCTAAAGATTTTTGTCTTTCTAATATAATGAGGTGATAGGTGGCGTGATGCATTCTTTGCTCAGTAGAAAGCTAGGCAAAGAGAAGAAAGAATAAATTTTATGTACTGCATCACCTCTTCACACTATTACCTACAAATCAGACTCCCTTTTGTCTGGGATCACCAAATCAGGGATCACCAAAAAGGTGAATGTCTCTAGATTTTCTAAAACATAGAGCATAGCTTATGAAATTTGATCGTCATAGGAGGTGAGCTTTCACATGTGGGGACTTTGATCTGCAGCCTTAACATTTAGTTCCACCCCTGGCATGTGTAGGACCCATTGAGAGAGATTGTGTGGTTATTGCCCCAGGTCTCAGGGCAGTGACTGGCATTCAGAAGCCAAGAGTCACTAAAAGAAAGAAAACAGGAGTCTCCTTATGGTGGGGGTTGCTAATGGGTGATACTGTTACATTCACAGAGAAAGACTTCCACCCTGCTGGGCACACAGTTTTAAATGTATTTCTACCACTGGGAGATTGAAAACTGACTGTAGAAATGATACTGACATTGAGAAGAAATGACATTTGGAACCAGTAGAGTTTCAGAAAGAATATCTAATCTTTTTCCAAATACTTGAGGACAAGTCATAACCACTCATAATTTTTTGTCCTGTTGTTTCCATGAGAAGATCTTTGGGCATTTACTTTGTGAAGAATGAATAACAAATTATGAATTTATTGTCTTAGAATATTCAAGCTACAACAGAATTCTAGGAATGACCCCCACTTGAGGCTATCTATTACAATCTGGTATTCAAATGTGTTCTAAGAAATAAACCATTCTTTGTACACACGATAGATTTTTCATGTGTGCAAGATAAATAATAATGAAAAGATTTGATGTTAACCTTTTCTAATAGAATGCTTCTAAACTTGTTCAGTCCTCTTTTCTCTTCATTTAATAATTAAAAATCTAAGTTTTATATTCATGTCTATAAAGGCAAAAGTTTTCAGCTACTATAGCAATAGTGTGCTTGAACATTCATTAATACTTTTATATCTCAGTTGTGGTTAAAAAATATCTCCTAATTCCTGTTGTCTGTGTATAAAAGAAATACGATATAATCATATACAGATGTTTGCTGCATATTATCTAGAATACCAAGAGATAACCCTTCATTAATTACAAATGGATGGAACTTATCCAACTTTTATAAATAGAATCCATTTGGTACATATCCAGTTCTATTGTGAGAAAGATTAGAGGTATATATGCATTCAGTAGGTGAGCACTGAAATGTAGTGAAAGAATTTTTATGGCAACCTTTGTTTTATTTCGAATATTCACTATTTATTATACAAAAGTAAGCATAATTTTAACATGATAAAATATATGTAATAATTGAAGAAACTGTTTAAGGTGATCATTACATAAATCAACATCATATTAAATGGAACCTAGATTAGTGCCAGTGATCACATAGGGAAATTTCAGAATAGTTAAGATAACCATGCTTCTTCTGTTGAGCCAGATTATCAATCACTTTTGTCTACTTGGATTTCATTGGACTTAATCATATATTTAAAGAAATTGTCGAATTGATGAATTCTGTTAGTTGATCTATATATAAGACTATCATTTCTTTTTAACCAAAGTCAAAACTGAATTGCCAATATGTATTTAGCAAAGTTTAATAAGACAGTAAAACTGGAACCAGAGCAAGAAAGGTCCTAATGACTCTAAATGGATTAAAGTGGCCCCAGGGGTGTCCCGTAAGCCATGAGACAATTTAAAGCCTCTCTTGACCTTTTAGGACTCAACTAGACAGTGACAACACAGGAACAGTCATCTATACAAGTCTCATTTGCCTGCAGAAATCTGACCTTTGTCATGGAAAGAAGACCTTTTCTTCCTTCCCCTTAAGAAAATCATAATTGCATCTAAAATGTGGGCATTTCCGAAACATCTACTGAATACAAATAGTTGACTCAAGTCACAGCCTTTCCCAACTCTTTTTTATTTTAAATGAAGGAATGGAAAAGCTCCTGTGCCCCTTTCACCACAGAGATTTTTTGTGAAATTGAGGATAAATAATCATTTTAAATTTTTGTTTTTATTGCTTACCTTCATGTAACAGTTCGTTTTAGTGTAGCCCTCTATGCACCCTTTGATTCCATAAAGAATAAGATACTAAATTATGAAATATTCTACTAAATTTTGTGCTTTGATTGGGAAAAAAATAACATGCTATAGTGAGTATAGCATTTCTTATACCATTTTTTTCTTTATAAAGTACACTGCTGGACTGATAGTGAACAATAAATAAGGGGAGAGAGCTTCTGGTCCAGGGACTTAGAAACAGGGTATATATATGTCTCCCCAAGATGCTGTATACCTGATGACTGTGAGCTGAACTTCAAAATCATTTAAGTTGAATTCTGTTTCAAAGAGTGTGTGCATATGTTTCATTAAATATTACGGTGGTAAACTTTAGAGGTTTTATGCTTCTTTATATTACAGGAGCCTAACCTAGGGGATTTGGCCTTCCTTTGAATGCTGCAGTCTTTTCATTTAGTACTCTGAACAAAGTGAACTTCTGCTAGGTTAACCTCTTAAAGTGCACGAGTCATGCAAAGCTTGGCATAGGCTGATAGGTCTGTTCTAGTCCCACTTGAAATTCTCATTTTAATGGTGAGCAGCAGTAGAATCAAAGATGGAAAAGGTCCAAATGTAAGTTCAGGATTCAGAAGGCCAGTGAAATTCTCCACACTAAGAAAATTATAAAGAGGACAGAAAGGGATCCATGCCTTTATGAATCTCCATTCAAAGTAGTCACCAGGTGTGATGTGAAACTTGATAGCTTGTTGAAGTTATACAATTCAGAATTAAGGCAAGATTTTTAAAAAAATGTTTAAAAATCTTTTCCTCTTAATTCTCTATGTCTCATGCAAATAAACATACACGAGTATGTTAACACACACATGTACATGCCTATCTGTGGTGCTGGAGAAGAGTGCTGAATATCCCATGGACTGCCAAAACACTGAGAAGATATGTCCAGGAAAAGGTGCAGAGTTCTCCTGGGAGGCCAGGATGATGTAGCTTCATATTGCATAGTGTGGACATGTAGCTAGGCAAGGCTATTCCTTGCAAAGAGACACCATGCTTGGTTAGAAGGAGGGCCAGTGGAGGAGAGGAAGACCCCCAAAGAGATGGATTGACACTGTGACTTCAGCCATGGGGTGTAGTATGCCAGAGATGATGATGATGATGATGATGATGATGATGATGATGATAGCAGCACTGGTAAGGGCAAGTTTTAGGTTAGCTGTAAATAGGATCTCTGTGAGTCCTACTCAACTTGAGATCACAGAACAACAACAGCAAAACACTACATAGAAATCACTGAGATAACACTTTTGCTTATAAGAATATTAGCTCAAAATCTACTTTAGAATGATAAAAGCAGAAACATTATTTATATATGTATATAACAGTGAAGAAGAATCAGTAGTCGGAAAACATGGGCTTGGTGACAGGAATGAAGCTGGAGATAGAATGATTGAGTTTTGTAAAATCAATGACTTATTCATTGCAAAAACATTTTATAAGAGACACAAA